CTCTGTGGGTCATACAGTTTCACAGTCCACACAACTTCATCACACTTCAGAGTACTTCACACTTTAGTAAATTAGGCCAAGTACATGTTGTTCAGTGGTTCATGTCAGGATTATATCAGGTTTAGGACAGGTTCAGGTCAGGATTTTATCCTGTTCACACAGTGGTTTAGAAGTGGTTCCCATAGAAGTCAATAGCCTGTAATCCACACCTGAACCTGAAGGCACTACTCAGAAATCATATATGACTCTTTTTCAGGCTGCACTGAATGTGCACTGAATTTGCACTGAATTCACACCACCAGTGCATCGGACATATATGAACAGGCACCATAGGAAGCAATGTTTTTTCACTTCATATGGATTGGATGTGGTTCAAACTACATTCCAATCCGCATACACGTGAATCGGCACCGAGACTGCCTGCACAGATTGTTAATACTTTTTACTTGTTTATGGGAATTTTCTCTGGGTATGTTTTGATTTCTTCCAACAACCCAAAAGCTTTACTAGATTTGTATTTGATTTTCACCCAGATTACGCCTTGAAGAGTAACTAAAAGGCAAAAGTTATTTTTTTTTTCATTTTGGGTAGAGTAAGGAAGGGTTATAACCCTCGTCTGTGTTTTTTTTCCATCTCTGTCCTATTGGGGACATTTCCCATCACTTCAAAACAGGGAGTGAGAAGAAATCCATCCAAAATGAAGGAATCCCGAAGTGTCACCAGGGTCACAGACCTAGTGTTCCTATTGGAGATTCCCCCTCTATTCTTGTGCTGATGTCAACCCAATATTTGGAATTTTCTTTTACTTTCCATTTTGATGATAATGGTAAACTGGACAAATACAGAGGGTGAATCTCCCTAATGGGGGCACAGACATCAAAAAATCTGAGTGGTGTTCTAATCTATCTTCACTCTCCAAAACCAAAAAAAAAAGTTTTGCCTCAAAACTGCACATTTTCTCAAGGCTGTATAAAGTACATAAAATAGAATTGGCAACAGTGAGAGTTAGGAGAGAAGCATCACATAAAGAAATCTCAATACTTTGATGTGATGTCTTACAAGCTTATTCATTGGCCATCAATCAGTAGGCCCAAGAAATGTGCTCCTATTCTCAGAACATGTAGATAGTGTTTGTATACATATTTGATCATATGAAAGCAAGACTGAACATAGATAAGTTAATAAGTGGTGTTTCCGCACCCCCAATTTTCATAGGCACCTGTTTTCACACAAGATGGTTTTCTAGGCCAATGTTTCTCAACCTTTTTCAGTCAAGGCACCCTTTAAAATTCTGCACAATCGCAAGGCACTCCATTCTAAAATGTAAAAAACTAAACTTACAGTTTTACATAACACAGCAACATCCACACGTGTAGGACACCCAACACCAGAGGTGATTTATTCTTTCAAAGCAAATGTGTACCTTTGTACACTGGTACTGACTAGTATTCCAATGTTTCTCTTCTGCCTCAGTTTTTCAACCTCACTCAGATAATGTGACTCCAGTGCTGATGGAGAGGGGCAAGAGTAGGGGCAAACAAGGATGCTGTGCATGCGTCAAATGCCCTCCTTATCAACCGCGACATCACTGGTTGTTAGGACACCAATGGCTAGAAGGTTGTAGTAGTGCATGAAAACCTGTGGCTTTGTATCACTGAAAGGTAGGCTGATCCATCCGCTGGACTGTGTGCAATTTTTGGACAATTTTTAGGCAATTTTTAAACATCTTGCAAAGGGACACCTGAAAACACCCTAGTTGAAAAAGGCTGTTCTAGGCTGTTGAGTGGGTCTGATGTTGAGCAGAGGAAGGAATCAAAGTAACCACCAAAGTACATGCCACGGAGGACAGACAGATACCTCCACACACGTGGGACTTTGATATGTCAACTATAAACAGCTGAATACCATTAAATGATTTGTTATGTATGGTATTATTGTATTCATCATCTTAAGTGAATAGCCTTTAACATTTTATGAAGCAGACATCTAATTACATCCATTATTTTTTCCTCTCTCTGTTCACTTTGAACACAAACCAAAATGTTATACATAATATCCTTTTCACAAAGCCATTGGGAAAAGGTGGACATGTTGAAAAACAGATTTATGCAGAACATGCATTCATCATATTGCAGCCAACATAACAACTGACAAAGTCTCACCCTAATGTAGGAGGTGAAGTTGGAGGTTTTGGTGACTTTGCTAGAAGACCCACAAATACTGCATTCCGAGCCTAGTCATACACATTAAAGTAAAACTATAAAGTAAGGCAGGATTATAACCCCTGTCAAGATTTTTTTTTTTGCTATCTGTGTCCCATTTCATAGATTTGCCTTCACTTCCTGTCTCATAGCCAATCAAAAAGTGAGAGGAAATCCCTGCAAATTAAGGGAATTACTTGAGGACCCCCAGGTTACCAGGACTAGTATTTCCACTGGAAAATTACCCCTCTATTACTTTTCTGGGGACAACCCAAAATATGGGATTTTCTTATACTTTCACTGTCAATGATAATGGTAACCAACACAAATAGAGGGTGAATCTCCTTAACAGGGGGAACAGACAGCAATAAAAACTCAACAGTTGTTCTAATTCCTCTGCACTCCATCCAAAACTATAAAAAAAATTTGTCTTTAGTTATACTTTAATAAGGGAGCAGCAATAAAAACTGGCAGATGTTCTAATCCCTCTCCACTCTATTCATAACTAAAAAATAAGTTTTGCCCTCAGTTATATGTTAAGGAAATGCTCAGACCATTTTAGACAGATGCTACTCAACCTGGAAAAAAACAGAATTACTAATTAATGGGATTTATAATTGTTTTATATTCTGTATGCAGATAATTCCATTTAAATAAGTACCTGTGTTGTGTGTCTTTTTGAATTAATATTTGCTATTAGGTAGTTTGAATGTGTTTTTTTCAAAGCAGGTATTTGTAATATAATATAATACATCTCATTATAAAATATCTACAGTTAATGATGATCCAATTATCTTTATTAAACCATTCCACTTTTAGATCCTAAGAGGATGAATCATTATTTAATTAGCACCGTGCCTGTGCAGTCCCAATAATGTACGTTTATTGGAGAGACATGAAGACTGAGATACATGTGATATCATGAATGATGTCTGATTCAGCTGAATTTTGTATTAACTACTTCCCCTGCACCCTATAGCAGAAATACTGCTACAGGGCAGCAGGGTTGCACAAAATCACATATATACAGTGGTGATCGAAAGTTTGGGCACCCCAGCTAAAAAATTGTATTAATGTGCATAAAGAAGCCAAGGAAAGATAGAAAAATCTCCAAAAGGCATCAAATTACAGATTAGACATTCTTATAATATGTCAGCAAAAGTTAGATTTTATTTCCATCATTTACACTTTCAAAATAACAGAAAACAAAAAAATGTCGCCTGCAAAAGTTTGGGCACCCTGCAGAGTTAATATCTTGTACTGCCCCCTTTGGCAAGTATCACAGCTTGTAAACGCTTTTTGTAGCCAGCCAAGAGTCTTTCAATTCTTGTTTGAGGTATCTTTGCCCATTCTTCCTTACAAAAGTCTTCCAGTTCTTTGAGATTTCTGGGCTGTCTGTCACACACTGCTCTTTTAAGGTCTATCCATAGATTTTTAATTATGTTGAGGTCAGGAGATTGTGAAGGCCATGGCAAAACCTTCAGTTTACGCCTCTTGATGTAATCCCCCGTGGATTTCGAGGTGTGTTTAGGATCATTATCCATTTTTAGAAGCCATCCTCTCTTTAACTTCAGCTTTTTCACAGATGGCATCAAGTTACCATCCAAAATTTGCTGAAATTTTATTGAATCCATTTTTCCTTCTACTCGTGAGATGTTCCCTGTGCCACTGGCTGCAACACAACCCCAAAGCATGATTGATCCAACCCCATGCTTAACAGTTGGACAGAGGTTCTTTTCATTAAATTCTGTGCCCCTTCTTCTCCAAACATACCTTTGCTCATTCTGGCCAAAAAGTTAAATTTTAACCTCATCGGTCCACAGAACTTGTTTCCAAAATGCATCAGGCTTGTCTATATGTTCATTTGCAAAGTTCAAACGATGATTTTTGTGGTGAGGACGTAGAAGAGGTTTTCTTCTGATGACTCTTCCATGAAGACCATATTTGTACAAGTATCTCTTTATAGTGGAATAGTGTACCACAACTCCAGTGTCTGCCAGATCTTTCTGGAGGGATCGTGCAGTCAAACTTGGGTTTTGAATTGTTTTTCTCACAATCCTGCGAGCTGTTCTGTCTGATATTTTTCTTGGTCTTCCAGATCTTGCTTTAATTTCCACTGTTCCTGATGACTGCCATTTCTCAATTACATTCCGAACAGAGGATATTGACATCTGAAAACGCTTTGCTATCTTCTTATAGCCTTCTCCAGCTTTGTGAGCGTCAACTATTTTCAGTTTCAGTTTTCTAGACAACTGCTTAGAAGAACCCATGGTGCTGATTGTTGGGGCAAGGTCAGATGAGTCTGGGCATTTAAAACCTTTGAGATTGACATCACCTGGTCTTCCCAGACGATAATTGAGAACAATCCATGACACTGGCAGGTCTCAGCTTTGCAAAGGGGGCAGTGCATGCTATAAATTCTTCAGGGTGCCCAAACTTTTGCAGACGCCATTTTTTTGTTTTCTGTTATTTTGAAAATGTAAATGATGGAAATAAATTCTAACTTTTGTTGACATATTATAAGAATGTCTAATCTGTAATTTGATGCCTTTTGGAGATTTTTCCATCTTTCCTTGGCTTCTTTATGCACATTAATACAAATTTTTAGCTGGGGTGCCCAAACGTTCGATCCCCACTGTAGATACGTGATTTTGCATTTCCGGGTAGGGGGTGCACGCTCCTATGTGCGCCTCCATTTGCAGCCTCGGCTGTCAGTCACCGGGTCCCGGCCGGTGACTACTCGCCGGCACCCGGTGATCACTATCTCCGTTGGTGGAAAGACCTGTATGTAAACAATACAGATCTCTTCATACGGCTCCTGCACACTGCTTTGTATGGCTCTGCAAAGTAGAGCCGTACAAAGCAGTGTGCTTACAGTGAAACACAGCACACAATGTGAAACAGCACACAGTTAACCCTTTGATCGCCCCAGATGTTAACCCCTTCTTGCCCAGTGCCATTAGCACTGATCACTGTATTGGTGTCAATGGGGATGACAGTGAAGCCAAGTCAGTTCCCCCAGTGCCATTAGCACTGATCACTGTATTGGTGTCACTGGGGATGTCAGTGAAACCAAGTCAGTTCCCCCCGTGTCAGAATGCCAGCCGCAGTCCCGCTATAAGTCGCTGATTGCCACCATTATTAGTAAAAATAAAAAAAATCCAGTATCTATACCTCCATTTCTAAACGCTATAACTTTCACGTCAACCAATTAATTTACACATATTTGGATTTTTTTTAGCAAAGACGTAGCAGAATACATTTTGGCCTAAATTTATGACAAAATTTGATTTTTTTTATTTTTCTATTGGACATGTTTAATAGCAAAAAGTAAAAAATATTGTTTTTTTCTCAAACTTGTCGGTCTTTTTTTGTTTGGGTGCAGCGTTGCATGACCGCGCAATTGTCAGTTACAGTAACTAAGTGACGTAGCAAAAAATAACCTGGTCAGGAAGGGGGGGGGGGGGTAAATCCTCTAAAGGTCAAGTGAGAAAACCAGTCATAAGAGAAATATGGAGGCTGCCATTGCTGACTTTCCCTTCTGAGAGCACTAGTTCCCCGGCTGTCATACTTTGCTTTTGGCTTCTGTACTTTCAAAGTCCCCGACTTGGAACAAGAATAGAGATGGAAGTTCTGACTTTGCTCTGACCATTCCTATTCTGCATACTGGGAATGTACTGAAACCATAGACAGGTAGGAAAGTAGCAAATTGAGAAGGATGTCAGGAAAAAAATATTTTTACTCTCAGCACAGGTTTTCTTTAACACAGGACTTATTCATATGGGCTGAAGATTTTGTGTGGGAGATCTTGTGCCATAATGTGAAAGTAAGAATGGTATACTTTCACTATAGGGCAAACTTACTTTATGAGTGTGCCCTCTTTCAGCACTGACTGACCAATGCTGTCAGTTGCTGCTCTGTCCCCTGTCGCCTTTTCGACCATAGGGTGGCCTCTGATGATGGAACTTTTGCGCATGTCCTGGACACCAGCTCCATTTTCACCACCTTACAGATGCCAGGAAGGATCCTGATTGTACACTGCATGGCTCATGTACAGTACCGTGTACACAGAAAATAAAAAATATCTATCAACAAGAAGCAAATCTTTTTAGGCAGAGCAGACTTTGCATATATCTTCTGAGACATACCTTCTAGTAGTTTTTTTTATTTGTTTTACTTTGCTGCCCCTTTAAAAGGTAAAAAAAGAGACATGCCCCTTTTTAGTACGCATTATGTAAATGTAGACAAATATTTTTACACATGTGGATTTCTAATGTTAATAGTTACAAAAAAAATGAATTACCTCTATGACCATTGTAAAATTGTTACCATAAAAAAGTAGGTATAAATTTAGCTACAAAGCACAGAGTTACCGCGCTGTCGGCTAACGTCACTCAGCTGGTCCAGGCTGTGGAAAGATCCCGACTTTTTAAGAGTCTGGAGCGGGCACCTGGCTTGGCCTCTCAGCAATCCACTGAGAGCCTTAGCCAGCCGCTCCCACCCCCTCCACAGCCCAGTGCTCTAGTGAGCATGGGGGGAGTGGGGAGGGGAAGCAGACAGTGGTGACTGAGAGCTCTCTACACAGAGCGGCTGTGAAAACCCAGAAATCAGTGGTCATGTGATTGCTAAGTTCTCACCGTTAGAGCCGGAGGGGGACATATGTAGCATCGGACCGATGCTGCATCTATCTAGGTAAGTATGATTTGGGAAAAAATTAAATCCCATTCTTCTCTTTTAACAATGACCAGGCAGACAACCAAAGCAGAAGTAGTAAAAAAATCATGCTTGGGTTGTATTCCAATGGAATTCCAGTAAAAAGTAATATTTATTGAAATCTTCATATAAAAGCATAAATCACAACTCCATACACTGGTCAGAGGACAGTTAACGCATTTCACACAAAGACATGTGCTTATTCATAACTGACATTTACCGATCAAAGAACAGCTTAAATAGTTAAAACATAGTCTTCCATCAGTAATTCAGGCAGTCTCATTAATCAACCTTCAGACAATGGGAAACACCTTAAACAGTGATCAAATTTACTTTACAAAAGTCAAACAAACAAACACTTAGGCTGGCCATACATGGGTTGATTTTAGAACGATTTTGGTTTGAAAATCGGACCTAAGAATAATCGACCAATTTTCGCTCTCTTAGTGGTGCAATGACACCAGCCGATTATCATGGTTCCTCCCCATTTTGTTTTTCGGGCATGCTGGAAAATTTGTGAAAAACGATTATTTCAAAATCATTGGTGGCACCATCGGATTACAGAATGAACGATGTTTTCGATTTTCAATTGATAAATTGTTCAGAATTCGACCCATGTATGGCCTGCTTTACCCACAATCCCAATAAAAATCATATGAACAAGATGAATAAATACAATTATTAGTCAAACCCAAATGAGAGAGGGGGGTAGGATTTAAACCTACTAGATGTAAACAAATAAATTATCTTAATACACAACCCTCCTAAAAAGTATCCCAAAAAAAAAAAAAGACTGCTTGTCATGTTCCCACCTACTGCTAGGTGAGTTTTATTCATCCAGCAGTGGTAAAACCTTCAAAATAAATTCTTTATTTGTAACACCAAATATGTGATCTATTTGATTACATATAAAGTCTGACACACTCAATATGTGGGGCGCACCAGCAGCAGAAGGCTCAAGGATAGATTTCGTGAGCATCTGAGCAATATTAGGATCAATGGCTCCACCAATGTAAACACTTTATATCCATGCATTCAGGAGATTTATCAGCGGTCAATGTACAGTTGATAAAGAAGGTACAGACTCCAGCTCATGCATGTGATATGTTCCGACTGTTGTACAGAAGGGAAGTGTTTTGGATTTTTCACTTACACACTCGTATTCCTAAGGGTTTGAATCATGAGTGGGACATTACACACTTTTATTATTACTGATACCCTTGTATAGTTATTATTTTGTATCATTTTGTTATTTTTGACTTGTTTGGTTTATGTGATTCTTCTCTTCTGCACGACAGCATCGAACATCCTGTAGGTGTACATGTGTACATGTCTTTTTGGTCTTTCTTTGTTTTTTTTTTTTTGTTTTTTTGGATACTTTTTAGGAGGGTTGGGTAATAACAGAATTTATTGGTTTACACCTAGTAGGTTTAAATGCTACCCCCCTCTCATTTTGATTAATTATTTTGATTTTAATTGGTTTGATTAATTATTTTATTTATTCATCTTGTTCAGATGATTTTTATTGGGATTGTGGGTAAGTGTTTGGGAAAACACCGTAAACAGTGATCACATTTACTTTACAAAAATGAAACAATGTCTGGAGGTTGATTAATGAGAGTACCTGAATTACTGATGGAAGACAGCTGTGTTTTAACTATTTAAGTTGTTCTTTGATCGGTAAATGCCAGTTATGAATAAGCACATGTCTTTGTGTGAAACACGTTAACTGTCCTCTGTCCGGGTGTATGGAGTTGAGATTTATGCTTTTATATGAAGAGTCAAAAAAAATATTACTTTTACTGGAATTCTGTTGGAGTGCGACGCAAGCATGATTTTTTACTACTTCAGCTGTGGTCACGGGTCGGGTCTGCACCTGTCGAATCCCAGAGGGGCGGATGCTGCACACTCTCACCTGGAGCGGTTTATAAGTTTTCATCAGACAACCAAAGCAGCAATGAGGGGAGCAGGTGAATGATGTTTTTGTGCTGATCTGTAGAAATAAATCACAGATTCACAGTAAAATTATCCACATGAGCTTCATGGGACACTTAAATGTTTCTCTGTATATAATGAGGGTTCTTCAGTTTTTTTTTTATTTTGCACTAAGACCCTGGGGTTATCACCACATACCTTACAAATAAACACTTGTCCTATTAGATGCAAATTAAATGGATAGTTTAGGAAGGTCACCATAGTATATATAGTTCATAAATGGTGATCTTCATAATGATGACTAACCTAAAGTATGCATTTAATCTGCATCTAATCAGACAAGCATCAGTTTGTCAGGTATGTGGTGAGAACCACAGGGCCTTTGTGCAAAATAAGGTACAGACATGAAAATATTGGGTCTTACAACCTACACCATCAGTATACATGACCCTCTCCATTATAACATTCATGAAGTGTTATACAAGAGTTCACATACATAAGAGGCTCATCTCCTCTATAACAGTGCATCAGCTGATGGGGCAGAGCTGCGTCAGGCTTTAGGAAGGATCCCAACAATATTGTTGGGATCAACTTGGCTGTCTGATTGACAGCTGGCTCTGCCTTTCAGCATATGGCTGAAAGTTGAAGCCCACCACAACCACCTCCAGCAGTCACTGTTCTCCACTCCAAGCTGACTTATTGGAGCTGATCTATCAACTCTCAGTCTTGGAGACAGCTGCAGTGTACACGGATGCTGCAGCATGGAGGTAAGCATGTATGTTCATTTTTTTTTTTAGTAATCCCAGACTTAACGTTCATTTAAAATATTGAAGAAAATTATATACACATACAGTGGCCTCCTCTTACCCTTGTAGCAGGTACAAATAATGCCTCATTATGACAAACATATGAGCCAAAAACATCAGTTTACACCTCTACCCCTATCAACCATACTATCATCTCACAGTTCTTCTCCAAGTAATTTTCCACCTAGAGGAATATTCAAATGTACAGTATGTATAACCAAACCTTTTTTCTTTTACGTTTTTGGTAAAGAAGGGTGTACACATTTACGTTTTTTCATTCAACACAATCAATGCATATGCAGGGATTTCTCCTGCTGAGCTATTGTCTTCTGACTGGAGGGACTCTTCCCCCCTGTCAGAATATACAAATTTGCACTGCAGCCATTGGCTGCAAGTGCTGATCGAATGCTGATTTTCCAGCATGACCGTTCGACAGAAGCCAGATGATAGACTGGTTTCTGTTGGACAGACAGCAGTACACAGATATCTAAAGTTGAATGGTTCCTGCTGAACCGGACAAGGTTTACATGTATACCCAGCTTAAGAGTAGGAAAAGGTTAAAACCACTGTCAGGAAATTGTTTTTTGCTGTCTGTGTACCATTAGGGAAATTTGCCTTCACTTGTCTCAGAGACACAACTGGAAGCTAGTGGAAATCTCTAGCCCCAGAACAGGTGTCTATATTGATTTTCCCTCATCTCATCTTCTGGAGACAACTCTAAAATGTTGGACTTCCCCTCATTTTCTGTTTCAGTAACAATGGGCA